GCAAAAGCAAAAAAAAATCTGCTTCTCACAAGTATTGCCTCCTTCATATCTTTCATTTATTAATTCGTAAGTTAACAATTCTAATTTATCTTTGACAGACTGGGCCGAACGGAGTCGATGGTTTCTTCCGTGAAGGAGATTTAGATAAACCAAGAAGCAGATATCCGGAAGCCCCTGCTCAACTTGCTGACTGCCCGGCAGGGTTTCCAAGCAAATCGTGCAATGAAGCAAACACTTGGGTTGGCGGAATCAATTTCAACGCTGATGGAATGTAAGTTTTTCTGTCTCAAAAAACTATTACTGTAGAAGACTCAAGATTTCCCTTTCTCCTTATTCAACGAACTTGTAATGATTAGAAATTGTATTACTGAGTGAAACCAAATCAGCAAAAGCAGAATACGGAAGAAACAAAAACTGAACAAGTGCTGTTTAGATTAGAACTGCAGTGTTGCAAATATGATGAAATGAAGTTTTCAACAGAAGTTGGAAGGCCTGTTGTAAGACCTGGTGAAGTATACTCTGGTGGCGAAGTTATTCGTGACGGCAGGCAAACTGGTTTTGATCTCATATGCGGTATAAAACAAATCCCAGAATCTTTTGGGAAGTATGAAACTTAACTTTTCTGTTACCCAAACTATGAGATTTTTGAAAAAGAAATTTTTTCTTCCAAGATTTAGTAAATGACTAAAAAATACAGCTATTAATTTTAGAAACTTTTACAGTTGTTAAAATATTTTTTATGTTATGCCAACGGAACTTGTAAAAAAGGGTTTGTTGACAAAATGGCTGATTTTCATTTGCTAATTATTACTGGTATTTCTAAACAACTGGTATAGATCGGCATTTCAATTGACTGTTTGTCGTATGGCTTGTATACCAGACCCCAATGAGGAAACTAACGACGGTAACTTAATGAGAGTTTTTGCATTAATTAAATGTTCTTTCACAGTTTTTTTCCTGCAAGACAGACTGTTGTATAATGTCTAATTGAAAGCCTAACTGAACAAAGTTCTATAGTTGATATTGATGAACAAAAAGAGATCACCAGAATTTTGGACAAAGTAGAAGAGCCATCATCAGAAACTCAGCCACTGCAACCCCTACCGCAAACTTCTAGTGTCGACGGTACTGATGCAAAACCAGTACCAGTACAAGAAACCCGGACCTATCCGGGCCAGACGGCTACTGTTGAACACGTTCAAGGCACTGATACTGACCAAGTCGTCCAAGTAACACTTAATTTTTCAAACTGTTTTTAACTATTTGTTACAGTTTCTTCTCTTCTTATCAAACCTAACTCTTTTTCAGATTGGTGAATCTGTTATACCAGTGCAAAGTGGAGGCGGTTATTACTATCCAGTAGAAGGGGGTGTACCTGCATGCTTTTCAGCAGACACCATAGTGCGTACCCTCAATGGTGATATTGCTATGAAGGACCTTGAAGTTGGGGAGCTTGTTCTCACCAAATTTGGAAACACAGTAAGTCTAGATACTGAATTGAAAATAACAAAAGATTTTTTGAACTGGTCTGAATGTCTATTATTAAAACTTTAACAGATAAGCCTACCAACTCAATACTTTTGTTCACCAGAAATTTATAACTAACAATCATTGTTGGCAATTTTATGAGCTAAAATCAGTCAACTCTGCTATCAGCACGTTCAATAACCAGCAAAAAAAATTTTTTTTTAAAGGTTGAGTTTTGTAGACTACGCTTATAAAACAGGTTGAAAGAAACTCTGCTTCAGTATCATTGTCTGTATGACAAATTAAAATATTTAAAACAAAATGCAGAAATAATTTCAGTAATATGTAATTATTTTAACAAACAAATCCTGAACTTTTAAACAACGTAAACGGGTTGGATTAGACGCTATAACACTGCTTATAAAATCGTCAAAATTGAGCTTGTTTTCATTTTACAGACAGCTTTTACCGAAGTTATAACGTTTATGCATTTATTACCCGATCAGAAAGCTTCATTTGTTCAAGTGGAAACTGCCGATGGTAATTTACTAAAGCTAACTCCATTGCATTTCATCTATAAAACAAGCTGCTCGACAACATCGCATAGAGATGAATTAGTTTATGCCGAAGATCTCAAAATTGATGATTGCCTATATACCTTAAATAGTGAAAACCGTAAGTTTAATACAGTTTTTATTCACTAATAATATAAAATAGCATTTTTATAAAATAATTTCGCATTCTTTTCAGACTAATGCTCTATAATTAGCATTAAACAACTTCCCTTCCTGAAATGTTAATAACATTTATTATTTCTACTGAGTGAAATGTTAGTACTGACAAAATTGAGCTACTAATTGGCTGTTTGTGTGTTACTGTAGAATGACGAGCTTAATTAGATGTAAACACTGTGATTAATTTTAGCCAATCAAAAATCAAAAATTGTTCATTTATCGGTAGTGGAGCAAATGGGTATATATGCGCCAATGACAGCTGCTGGTGATCTGTACGCCAGCAATATCCTCTCGTCTTGTTACAACGTTATTAGGCATCTTTTTTAAGCAGTTTAGATATTTGCAACAACTGGCTTTGTAGTTATTACTCGTAAGAGAAGAGAGTAGTATTTCTACAACAAAATATCTGTCATTTGAAAAACTGGTATAAAAAAATACAGGATCGATGATTGCAAAATTAAATTCAATTCGAACGAAAAGCAACAATTTAAAAAAAAAAAA